TCCAATAAACAGAAAGACTTTGCAGGTCTGGAGGTCATTCAGGAGCCCGGGTGAGGTGCCCCACCCATCTGTCCCCTCACCCCAGCCCTGCTGGAACTGACATCCTGGAACTGGGGGGAGACAGCTCCCAGCACAACTGGGTGTGCCCCCAAAGCTCCAGCCCTCAAAGAACCCTGGCCCTACCCTAAGGGGAAGCCCTCATAAATGAGGGGCACCTAGTCTGATGGAAGAGGTAGGAGCCTGCTGTCTGCATTGGAGGGGGTTGTGGGGGTAGGGGGGTCCCTCTAGCAGGCTCCTTCTCTGCTGGAGGTACCTAGATGAGTTTCCTGGGAGGGAAAGAGGGACCCCAGAGAACCCCCTTCACATTCCCTCCTCTTTCTTGGGAAAGTGGGTTTGATGTGCTAATGAGGCATCAATAATTGAGTCTCCTCAGCCTCATTACAATAACATGGAGGGAGGGGCCTCCGCCCAAGAGTGGGGGGATGTGGGAGAGGAAGAAGCCAATGACACCTTTAGCATCCCTTGGAGGATGGTCAGAGGGTGCTGGCCGGGAGGGCAGCACAGGACGATCTCCCCAACTCTCTTTCTCACACACACACCCCAGCTTTGACCCCAGAGCCAGGTCACTGTCCTGGTCCCGCTCCCCAGAATAGGGCCCCACACTGCCTGCCCACCATCCGGAGTAGTTGGGGTGATCCCAGGGAGACCCCAGCTTGAGGTGCTCTGGGGTCTTCCCCCTACCCACCACGGGGATCTGGGGTGTGGGGCTCCAAGGTGTCATAGTGAGCACTTCAGGGTGCCCCCACACAATTTCTCCTAGGTGACCCTCTCTACCATCCCGCCCCAGGGGCCCTATTCCTGCTCCTCTAAGAGGGGGACTCATATCTGCCCCCACCTCCCTATGCAGGCTCCCAAGAGAGAGGGGTGGGGTGTGTGTGTCAGGCTCTGCAGTCCCTACAACATGCCTGGGAGCAAAGGGGGGGCCGGAAGTCACCTGTGGAGGCATGAGAGTGGGGGCTGGGTGGCACCTGAGGCATCTCAGGTGGAGGCAGCTGGCATGATGGTTGTGTTGGGCACCATGCCAGCTTACAGGAGTTACAGGAGCCTCACGCAGGGAAGGACCTGGGTTCGTTTTGCCCGATGGGGGGTGGGGGCAGGTCAGTTTCCCCAGCCTCTGCTTTTGCCATCCAGTGGGGTCAGTGCCAGGGCTCTCTCCTGGGGTCTCCTGGGAGGCCAGCCGGGAATCACCCAACCAGGAAGGTGATTTGACATTTGGAATATCCTGGCATCTGGGAGATCTCAGAGAGCTGGGGAGCCTGTTCTATGTGCACCACCACGGGGTCACCCTACAAGCCTACAGGAGCACGGGAGCCATTGACCCCCAAAGAACAGAGAGGCAGAGACCCTGCCAGATATGGTGCCACTGTATCACTGTATCACTGTTCTCCCATTGTTCGTCGATTTGCTCGAGCGGGCCCAGTAACGTCTCAATTTTGAGACTTGTCGTTACTGTGTTTGGCATATTGAATACATCACTGGTAGCCTGCCAGCCAGGCTTTGCTGTGCAGACGAGATACTCTTGGTAGCTTGCTGGGCTTTCTGAGAGGGGCGGAGGAATCCAACCCGGTTCGGCCAGGCTGGCTGCGCGAACCCCCTAAAAATGACCCACATCTGATTCCTCATGGGGGCGAGGCTCTCCCTGAGGTGGTCATCACAGGGTGGGGAAGGGAGGCTGCTGACCCCCTGGGGACTATCCCACATTCTGAGGCTGGTTCATCCCCTCCCTCCCCCACCCATCCCTGAGCCTCTTGGCATCAGCACTAGAGTGGGAAGCTCTCCCTGCGATGGCATGAGCCTCCTTCCAATCACCTCCAGGGCTCCATGCCCAGTTTCTTGAAGTTCATGGCAACGGTGTGAAGCAGCCTCGGTGCACAGGGCTGCAGCCGCCCCTGGGTTGGGACGCACTTGGTGGCGAGCCCTAGGGCAGGCTGGGAGCCCTAGGGCAGGCCTGGGTCTGATTTCAGCTGGACGGGTAGCTAAATCCTCTGGACCTTGCGTCATTCTCTCAACCGGGGTGGACAGAAGCTGCTTTCCTGGGGATGTGGAGAGGTCTGTGTTGGCAAGTGTGTGTGTGTGTGTGTGTGTGTGTGAGAGAGAGAGAGAGAGAGAGAGAGGAAACACAGCACCCCGGATACCTTTCTCCTTAGGTGGCCCAGTGAGGGCAGAGACAAGGCCTTGTCTCATGCGGAGGTGAAGGGTGCAGTCCTGGGGACTGATTGGGGGGCTGGCAAGGAGGAGCAGCAGCAGGACTGCCCAGCGTGGGGGGGGCCCTGAGAGCGCTAGGGGGGCAGTGTCCATGAAGCAAAGGAAAGTCAACCCAATACTGGCGAACCCCTCCCCTACACTGGGCCTGCTGCTTCCCAGGCCCATCCCGGGCAGGCAGCCAGCAAGGAGCTGGCCCTGTGCCCACTGCTTGCTCTGAGGCCGAAAGATGGGCACCGTCCAGTTGGCAGAGGGAGAGGCAGCTGGCCCTGGAGGGTAGAAGTCAGGGTGCCGACCGCTGGGCGCGTGTGCCTGGCCCTTGGCTGCAGCTGGGAAGGGTCCCTTCCTTCTCTTGCCCTGGCTCTGCCGCCCAAGTTTCTGCAACTGGAGATTAATCTCCGAAGGGCATCTGAGCCCTTGTCCCCAGCCCTGCAAGCGGCTGGCTCAGGCCGAGGGGCGGGCAGGAAACCAGGAACACCCCAGATTAAGGCTGCCACTAGGTAGACCAGGAAGCGGGGAAACCGGTTTGACATTTGGGCCACTTGGGGTGGGGTCTGCCCGCCTGCTTCTCTGCCAGCCCGCCACTCTCCCTGGTGGCCTCTGGAGAAGAGATGTCCCTAACCCCTCTCCTGCTCCTATAAGCTGGTCCTGACAATGCCGGCAGTAAATAAACAGGGCCGAGTGCTCGGCCCACCGCAAGAGAAGCTTGGGACAGAAGGGACGGGACCGCGAGGCGGAAAGAGGGACGGACGGAGCAGCCTGGACGGGTGGAAGGGCCGGTCCCGGCCACAGAAGCCGAAGCAGCCCACAGGTAGGTTCAGGTGCGGCAGAGAGGGGGTGGCAGTAGGGCGGGAGAGGGGCCAAGCTGCGCAGACCCCACCCCAAGTGTGCCCACGAAAGGGCGAGGCGGAGCGCGGGGGACAGCGCCCGTGGCCGGAGCGAGCCCCCCTCGGGGTCCCAGTGGACAGGAGTCCCCGGGCCCTTCACTCCCCGCACGCGGCCCTGCAGTTTCAGCAGATGCCTGCAGGAGGCGCCACGGCCAGAGCCAGGAGCCGGGACACGGCCCAGCAGGGGGCGCCGGGGGGCTGGGTCCGGGTCTAAGGAGCCCGGGGAGGGGGACCGAGGCAGAGGAGGGCCCCGACTCTCCGCCGGGGGCGCCTGGGGCGGCTGTGCCGTTCCGAGGTCACCTTGGCAGAACAGTCGCCCCCGAGTCGCGCCGCCCGGCCCCCCCTAAGGCTTCTCCATCCCCAGTCGCGCTGCCCGGCCTGCCCCTAAGGCTTCTCCATCCCCAGGCGCGCGGGGGCTTGGAGACCGAGAGGTCCACTCGCGTCCCCCACCCCTAGTCCCGCTGTGCCCGGTCCCCCGAGTCCGGCCCCCGCCTTCGGCATCTGCCTCCCCCCGGGGCGTGGATTGTCCGCGGCGCGCGAAGCAGGTGCCGCGGGGCGGGGAGCGTGTGCGCGCCCGTCCCCCTGCCCCGGCCGCGCGCCGCGGGACCCCGCCGAGCCCATCCCCTCCCGCCCCCCGCGCCCGCCACCCCGGCGGCCCTTTGTACGTTCCGGCCACCCGCGCGTGCCCGCGCCGCGCGCGCTCCCGCCCGCAGTGACACACCCGCGCCGGCCCGCACGCGCGCGCGCTCACACGCACACACACACTCACACTCGCTCTCGCACACTCGGTGACACGCCCGCGCGCGCACGCACCCACACGCCCGCTCGCCGGCGCCCTCCCAGCTGGTCCACCCCGGCGGGGCCCGAGCCCCCGGCCCGCCCGCCTGGCACCGCGCCCCGGGGCCGGGGCCGAGCGAGGAGCCCGCGAGGCGGCGAGAGGGCGAGCGCCAGGCCGGCCGGCCGGGGCCCCCGCCCCCCGCGCCCCCGCCCGATGGGGAACGCTCCGTCCCAAGGCATGTCCCTGTCTCTCTCCTCCCTAATGTGCCTCCATGCTTAAGTGGAAGGTATTTCTGTTTTCTTTGTGTGTTTTCCCCTCGGCCGGGGGCGGGGGCGGCGGCCGGGCCGGGGAGGCGGCGGCCGGCGGGGCGAGGGATGCTCGGGGCGCAGGTGGTGTGGGGGGCAGGGGACCGGCGCGCGCTGGGCTGGAGAGAAGGACCCAGGCGACAGGAGTGCTGGCAGCCGCGGGGTGGGGGGTGGGGGGGATCCGGGATAGATGGGGCTGAAAACCGGGCGGGGAGGGCCTCGCGTAGGCGGGGGTGGGGGTGTTAAATTGTAAATGGGGTGTATGGCCGGGGGGGGGTGCAGGGGGACGAGGGACCGGGGACGGCTGGTGAGCCGAGTGGGGGAGGGGAGTGGTCCCTCCGAGACGGGGGAAGAGGAGGAGGAGGGGGAGGGGAGGCGGACGGGGATGGAGAAGCCCGGGAGCTGCCAGGGCCTGTGAGTCCCTCAGGTCCCCGAAAGGCACTTGGACGGTGGCAGGCCCTTTGCGCCGGCCCCCCCAGGGATGGCCGGGGACGAGGCATCTGGGGTTGGCTGCGTTGCCTGGATACAAGTCTGCGTTGCCCGCCCCTCCCCCCTCGCGCTTCACCTCGCGCCCCTAGCCCTGGAGACCGCGCAGCCTAGGCAGCAGTTCAGAAACTGGGGACCCGCTCCCCACTCGGCCGGCGGCGGCGGGAGGGCCCGCGGGGAGGAGGGGCTGGGGGAGGGGCCGTTTGCTCGGAAGCCCTCCCCCCGCAGAGGCCAGAGGGCAGGGGAGGGCGCCCCCAGCTGGGAAGAGCATCTCGGGTGAGGGAGGAGGTGGGGACCGCGCGCCGCCGCGGGGCAGAGGGCGGGGCTGGGGAGGGGACGCGCCGTGGCCCCCCCTCCCCTCCCACGCACCCCCCTGCTACGTCAGAAGCTCGCGGGCCGGCTCCGAGTCCTGTCGGTGGGGGCAGCAGGATGCTGGTGGAAGCAGAGGGGGCCGGCCGGGTGCCTCCGCAGCTCGGCTGGCAGGGCCCCGCGGGACGCGTGCGGCTGCGAGCGCGAGGCCCCCCGCCCCCGCCTCCCCATGCAGCCCTGGCAGTGCCTCCGGCGTTTTGCCCTGGCCTGGTGGGAGAGGACCGCCGAGGGCCGCGCCCGATCGCCCCGGGAGGAGGCCGGACCGCGGGAGCCCGGGGCCCGTGGGGAGCCAGGTGAGTCAGTGCAAGCTGGGGAGCCCGGCCTCCCTCGCCTCGCGCCCAGTTCTGTGCAGCCAGGAGGTCGTGAAGCCCCAACTTTGAAGGAAGCCGCTCGGGAGACGTGCAGCTACTGATGCTTTTGGGGCGACGGGAGCAGACCAGCGCGGGGAGACGGGGCGGGGGTGCAGACTGGACCCGATCCCAGGGCTGCGCCGCGGGGCTGAAGGCTCCCGGCCAGGCTTGGAGCACTGTTGCCGGAGAGTAGGAGACCTTCTTCCCTTCTGGGTAGCTTGGTCCCGGTGACCTTGAGCCAGCTGCGTGGCTCTACCTTCCTGCCTCAGTTTCTCTCCCTCCCTTCCCCGCCCCTCTTGCTGTTCTCAAAGACTGGATGCTGTATTCCATGGTTCCTGTCACTGTCACAGTGTGGCACCGGCGAGGGTGGCGGTTCCTGGCAGTGTTTGTGCATGAATGGGGGGGGGGCTTAAGTGAGGGATTTTGTCGGGTCTGGCTGGTGTCAGGGGGGCTGCTACAAGGGTCAGACCCCACAAGTGCACGGGAAGGGAGGCTCCTGAGTCTTAGGAGCAGATGCCGCCTGAGCTGTCTGGTGCAGAATCACGGGTTTGGGGTTAAGGGGAAGGGGTCCCAAGAATAAGAAGAGTCCCCTCCACCCAGACTGCCTGGCACCCTGCTATGTTGGCAGCCAATGCAAAGGCTTGGCCCTGGCTTCCTGCCACCCTGCCTTGGGTATAAGAGGGTCTTTGTCCGGTGCCTGGCCCCTGCTCCCTCTGCCCTTACCCCAATGTCGCTCTCTCCGGCGACCCTCGCGCTGGAATGGACATGGGGTCCGCAGTGGTTCCCTGAGTGTGTGAGGGAGAATCTGGAAGAATCCTGGGGTCTTCAGGTAGTGCTCTGCAGCCAGGGGGCCTCCTCGGGAGCAGAGAACCCAGGAACGAGCCCCACCCCAGGCTTTCACCCCATCAGTCTCTGCCCCAGGGGTATGTGGGGCTGGGGGCTTCCTGGTTTGAGCTCTGCAGGGTTCTGGGTTTGTTAGAGATGCCCTCGGATGCACAGTCTCTGGCCAGGGACCCAGCCTGGGAAAGGGTTTAATTAGCACCATTGATTCCCGCTCTGGCTGCGGGCATTGATCTCAACTGTGTGGTCAGACCTGGGTGGAGGCGGGGTGCGGGGGCAGGTGGCATCACTGCCTCTGCCCAGGGCCTGCCTTGGCATCCTTGGCAGAAATGGGAGAGGGGGCTGGGCTGGGCTCTGGGGCCAGCCCAGCTCTGTCTTTGCCCCCCTGCGTCGTCTGGGACGGGAGCAGGAGAGAGATGGGTGGGGGCAGGAGTTGAACCCAGTGTTGGAGGTGTCTCCCACCCCACCTCACCCCCCCGCCGTCCCCAGGAGCGGGTCTGGGGCTCAGGAATGGAGGGGTAGCTGCGGTGGGAGGGGTGTGGCAGGGCATAGAGAGCCCTTGAGGGCACAGTGCCCGCCTGGGGGGAGGCCCAGTGCGACATGGGGGAAGGATCTCGGGCTGGTGATCAGGCTCCTCTTTCGAGGAATCCCAAGCGCTTATCTCTTTGGAACCCCGCAAGAAGATGCGCCTTCCTTCCTGTTCCTCCCTTCCGGGCCTCCAGACCCAGAGCTGGACAGGGCTGCTGGGGGCACGGGTGGGGGTGGGGGGCAGCAGGCCCGGCCCTGGCCTTTGAGCCTGGCTCTACCTGAACGCCCGCCGCTGGGCCCTGCCCAAGTGTGAGGCGCTGAACGGGAGGCTCTGGGCTGCCTCAGAGCTGGTCTCTGGCCCTACGGACCAGAGGGGGCAGGCTGTGCCCCCCAGCCTCCACTGCCTGCTTTGGGGGGGCCTGGCAGGTGCGGGATTCAATGAGCCACTCAGACACTCTTTGAAGAGCCCCTGCTTGGCTGCCGAGGGCCCATTCGTGCGCAGAGATAATGAAAATCTGGCCGTCAGCGGGTTTGCCTTCCCCTTCTTTCATCCCTGCGCTGAAAAGCTGAGCTGAAGGCTTTGGATTTGGCTGGGAAGCTTGCCTGCCCGAGGGGGGAGGCAGGCAGAGCAGGGAGGGCTGAGTTCCTGGCAGCGGCATGGGGGGGATGGGTAGAGGGACCAGGGCATAGACCCCAGCTCCTGCCCCGCCGGCGGGCTCTGAGGCCAGGGCCCTATGCCCCTTCCCTCGCTCTTGCTTTGACCTTCAGGGCCCGTGGCCAGGAGGTTTCCCTTCTCTGCCCCGAGGCTCCCTGGGCCCCCCTTTCTGCCCCGCTGCTCTCCCCCACTTTCCTCTTCTCTCCCCAACCCCCCCCCCGTCTGCCCCTCCCACCTGCCGCCCTCTCCAGCTCTGCGCCTGCTTTCTAGGACTGTCTGGAAGGGGGTGCCCGGGGAAGGGGCCGGCCCAGGGGGCTATTGTGGTCTGCCAGGCTATAGTCCGCAGAGTCTGGCGGAAGGGCACTTAGGAATGGCACTCGGGGATGTCTCTGTGTGGGGGAGCCCCTGCGCCCCATCCCACAGCGGGTAGCTGGGAAATGAAAGCCCAGCCTTGTCCACACCCGCCTCCGATCACCCACTGACCCAGACACCCAGGTCACCCTTGCCCATGGTTCCCCCCTCCCACACACACGGGTACAGGGAGGGGTCTGAGGAGCCCCTAGGCCCCATACCCTGCCCCCCTACCGCCGTCCTAGAGGGCTTCTGGAACCCCACGTGGCTCTTCTGTCCCCTTTGACTCTTCGCAAGGACCCTAGGAGATGGACTGCTTCCTCCTTGGGTGGCATCTGCATGACCTTGAGTTGGCGCCTTCCCCTTCCTCACCTGCGGAAGGAAGGAACCGTGGGCTGGATCCTCTCCAGTCTGTCCGGACTGTGCTGTATCTCGCTGGGGGCCATCTGCATCTACTTTGCATATGTTATCAGTGTCTGCTGGAAGGGGCAGCTTGCCATCTACAGGGACCGAGAGCCACTCCCCGCATTCAGCTACCCTACTACCCTAGCCCGGCCCTCGCTTCTGCTGCCCCTTCCCTTCCTGCTGTGCTGGAGTTGGGAGGGGGCATCCACGTCCTCCAAAGGGAGCCCAGGCAGAGTCTAGGGGTCACGAATATGTGCTTTGCCTGCACAAGATCCCAGGTTCTTTCTCTGGCCGTGCAGGTCCCCTGAGCACCTCTGAATGTGGCTCTGATGGCCTTCAGCACTGCCAGGCTCTAGCATTGAGAGGCCCAGGCAGAGCGATAGTGCAGCGTGTGAGGTGCTTGTGCTGGGCTGACCCGGCTTCCATCCCCAACACCCCATATAGTCCCCTGAGTACCGCCAGAAGTGATTCCTGAGTGCAGAGCCAGGAATAATCCCTGAGCATCGTGAGAGGCAGCCCAGGAGCATAAAAGGAAAGGTCCAATTTGGGTGACTGAGTATGACCAGGAGTGGCCCCTGGGTCCCCTGAGAACTGCTTGGGAGTGCCTCACCCCCCACCCCCCACCAGTTATTTTTTTTAAAGGTCCAAACAGAGAAGCCAAGTGGAGTATGAATTTGCTAAATTTGCCTGTGGCTGCATGGCCTATGGAAACCCCTTGAGGTTGAGTGGCGGGCTTGGGTCTGGGATCCCAGAGGAACTCCGCCTCTGCCCCACAGCCTGCTGGCCTGAGCCCCTGTGCTCTGGGTATGTGTGAGCTGGAACTTGTAGCTGAGAGATGGTCACTAGAAAGACTGAGAGCCGGGGGTGGGGGCAGAGAGAGGAGAGAGAGAGTGCCAGAGAGAGAGAGAGAGAGAGAGAGAGAGAGAGAGAGCAGGGATTAAGGTGCTTGCCTTGCTCGCAGTAGAGACTGGTTCAGGTTCGACCACATATGATCCCCTGAGGCCTGTGGAAGTGATCCTTAAACACAAAGTCACGGGTAAGCCCTGAGCATCACTGGGTATAGCACAGGGAAGAAGGGAGGGGGAGGGAGGAGGGGGGAGAGGAGGAGAGAAGGGGATGGAAGGGAGGGGGAAGGAGGGAAGGGAGAGAAGAAGGAAGGAAGGAGGAAGGAAGCAAGCAAGCAAGCAAGCAAGCAAGCATGTAGGCCTAGGTCTGTCTCATCACTACCAAAGACACATCCCAAAGGTGAGAGGCCCCAGGTGATGCCTGCTGCTGGGTCCCAAACGTCATCTCCCTGGAGAGAAAATCGGCACTGCCTTCCTTGGCCAGCCCAGCCTGACCTCAAGGGCTGTGCCTCCTAGCTGGCTCTGCAGTGCCTCTGAGCCCAGCCCCTGTCCTGCCCAGGAGAGCCAGAGCAGAGGAAGTGAAGCTAGCGTGGCCAGGGTCCATTTCATCCTCCAGACCAAGGATCCCAGGGGCGGGCTCATTGCCTGCCTGGAAGGGCAAGGAGGAAATAAAGTGAAAATTTCCTGCGTGGAATCCGACACATGTTAACTTCTCAATCTGTGCCTGGTCTTCAGACCAGAGGTGTGTCCTCTCTAAAGTCCCAGCATGAAGAGCTGGAGGGACGGTCCTAGAAGGACTCAGTTTGCCATTCCCAAGCTCTTGTCTCATGCCTGCCCTGGACTTAGGGCTTCCCAAGCAGAGGGTTGGGGCAAAAGCAGAACTGGAGCCAAGACAGCTCCCTTGCCCTCTGCCGTGTGACCCTGGGCAAGTTAGTTGCCCCCTCTGGTTTTCAGTGTCTTTACTCTGTGGAACAAGAAGCCACAGGCTCGCCTTCCCTCCTCTGCCCTGAGAGAATGGGAGCTTCTCCGCCTGGAAGTTGGGAAGAATGTCTCTGGTGCCAGCTAGACGGGGGGAGTGGGGACTTGGCCCGGGAGAGTGTGGTGCTTGCAGTGCACATGTGCACGGGCTTGGGGGCCAGACTGTCCCTCCTGCTCCTAGCGCTGCCCCATCAGCCTGAGGACAGGTGAAGGGGCAGGAGCACAGGCGCCCTGCTCCCTCTCTCCCTGGCTGTCCCACTGCAGGGTTGGCCGCCCCTGCCCTTACCCCTTCATCTTGCCGGGCCCCTGGAAGCAACATGTCCTGGTCACGTTGGACACCCAAAACCTGGGAAGGCGTTGGGATTTCTCAGCCCTGCAAACCCTGAGTGAGCTGGAGACCCAGGTCCAGGTACACAGAGAAGACTCCATTTAGTTCGAGTTAGAGGTGTTTGTGCAAACCGGAGGCAGGTAGTGAGAGAGAGATTGGGAGACAGTGACAGTATATGTGAAAGAGAGTATGAGACAGTGACTGTGTGTGTGTGTGTGAGACCGTGACAGTGTGAGAGGGTGTGAGATCGTGACAGTGTGTGAGATTGTGACAGTGTGTGTGACAATGTGTGAGACAGTGACAGTGTGTGTGAGACCATGACAGTGTGAGAGTGTGTGAGACAGTGACAGTGTGTGAGAGGGTGTGAGATCATGACAGTGTGCATGAGAGTGTGTGAGACAGTGACTATGTGAGAGGGTGTGAGATCATGACAGTGTGTATGTGAGTGTGTGAGATCATGACAGTGTGTGTATGAGATACCGTGACAGTGTGTGTGTGAGAGACTGTGACTGTATGAATGTGTGAGACTGTGACAGTGTGTATGTAAGACTGTGACAGTGTGTGTATGAGACTGTGAGAGACTGTGTGAGACTGTGTGTATGTGTGAGACTGTGTGTAGGTGTGTGAGAAACTAACAGCGTGTGTGAGACTTTGTCTGTGACAGTGTGTGAAACTGGGAAAGACTGACAATGCATGTGAGTGTGTGAGACTAACAATGTGTGCACAATGTGTGAGATTGTGACAGTGTGTGTGAGACTGTATGAATATGTGTGTGAGAGTGTGAGACTGTGACATTGTGTGTGAGAATGTGTGAGACAGACTATGTGACACTTGTGGGAGTATGTGAGAGTGTGTGCATGAGAATGTGTGAGTTTATGTGACTGAATATGAGTCTGAGACTGTGATAGTGAGTGTGAGCAAGGGTGTTGTGACAGTGAGACTGTGACAGTGTGTAACTGTGAGACTATGAAACTGTGTGCAAGAGTCTGAGTCTGATAGTGTATGAAAAGAGTGTTATGTGAGAGTGACACTATGTGGCATTTTGTGCACAAGGGTGTGTGCAGAGTGTGTGAGACTTGTGTGAGACTGTGTGATAGTGTGACAGTGTGTGTGTGCCTGACTGAGTATGTGTGAGAGTGTGAGGGTTTGTGTGATGGGTGAGTGTGTCTGTGTATAAGAGAGAAATGAGAAATATGAGTGTGTGAGTGTGTGAGAGCGTGGCATGTGTGAGAGAGTGTGGCGTGTGTGTGTGAGAGTGGAGTGTGTAAGAGTGTGAGAGCGTGGCATGTGTGAGAGAGTGTGGCGTGTGTGTGTGAGAGAGTGGAGTGTGTGAGTGTGTGAGAGACTGTGGCATGTGTGAGTGTGTGTGAGAGAGAGTGGACTGTGTGAATTTATGTGTCCCTTGATCCTCCCAAGGGCATCTTTGATAATTACAGACACAGCAGACAGCCCTGTAACCCGGGCACCAGTGTCTGCCTTGAGGGGGAATGAGTGACGCATCTCACTGGAAGTGTCCACGGCTGCCGGGTCCTCTCTGCCTGTCCCCTGGGCCATCTGTTCCATCTTCTCAATGCCCACCTGGGGGCCAGGGAGACCTCTGGACTTCCCTTATGTCCCCGACTCCTAGGGTGAAAGTTAGACCAGGGAGGGCCCCAGAGGGACACAGATTCTCACTTTGCTGCCCACCATCCTCCGACTGTTGACTTTCCCTCCCTGGGCTCTCTAGGTTGTTTTGCTTTTCATTTTGTTTTGAGAGGTTCGTGCCTGGCTGTGCTCAGGGCTTATTCCTGACTTTGTGTCCAGGGATCACACCGGGCAGGCTCAGGGGATTCGATAATTATAGCTACCAATGTGGTTGCGGGGCTCAAACCCAGGTCAGCACCATATCCCTGTGCTCACTTGCTCTCTCTCTCCTCTCTCGTTCTCTCTCTCCTCTCTCATTCTCTCTCTCCTCTCTCTTTCTCTCTCTCTCTCTCTCTCTCTCTCTCTCTCTCTCTGTCTTTCTCTCCCCCGCCTCCCCTGGGGGAAGGTTCTGCAGACTCTAATGTGCTGAGGAGGGACAGTGGGAAGGGGCCCTGGGAGATCCCAGCCTTGTAAAGATGAATGAAGCTCAGAAGCTCCGGGCTTTCAGCCCCTCACAGCACCCGCCCGCTCCACCCTGGTTCTGGGGGCCCAGCCTCTGCCTTTCCCCCAGGTGTTTGAAGGGGGCCCTGTGAGGCTTTCACTCCCCTCTGAAGGGAGGCAGCCAGGACCCCAGGAGCAGTCGAGCTGTGGGGGACTGGGGGGGGGGACAGGAGCTCCGGAACCCAAAGACAGTAGAGAGAACGGGGTTAGGATGCTCTGGAATGCTGATCTTGCACCAGACTGGGGAGTGATGCCTCTCTCTGTGGGGCTTGGGGTGCGTGGCTGCAGGTTTGTATGGGGGGACCCTCTGGGTGAGCGTGCAGAGTTCCTGGTAGAACCCCTCCTTCCTTGGTCTTCTTCCTCTTTGTCCCTTGGAATGACAGAATGGGGGACAGCTCTCCCTGGAGGCAGGGGCAGGAGAAAACATCTTTCCTGCAACTCAGCCCCTCCCCACAGCTGGCCTTGTGTCTTGTCCCTGCTTCCCTTCCACACCCCACACCCCTGCCTCCTCCAGGAAGCCCTCAGGGCTGGATGTGTTACAGAGTATTCTTATTTCATCCCTGTCCTCCCTGCCCCAACAGCTGGACCCAGCAGCTGTTTCTCCCTGGGAGGCCTTCGTTTTGGGTAATCAGTGGGAAAATTGGAACCTCGAGATAGCAGTGGGCTCTGGGAATGGTTGCAGCCAGACGTGATGTGGGTGCGGATGGAAGGGAACCCGCGAGTGAGGGCTGAGCCCAGTATAGGGGTGGGGGCTCTGGGCCACAACGTCTGCAAGCGGGAAGGGTCCTGGCTGTGCCTGCCCCCTCACCGCCCCGGGGACAGGGATCTCAGCAAGGGGGTGCTCAGAGGCTTTGTGAGGGTAGAGGTGAGCCACTGCCGCTGTGGGGCTGGTGTCTGGGTGAGTAGCGATGGGGGTGTGGAGCAGGAAATGAGTGCAGGCCTTTGGGCGATTTGGGGCAGGGACCCCCATTTCCCGTAGAACCCCCTGGTGAGTGTGTGTGTGTGCGTATGTGTGTGCGTGTGTGTGTGTGTGTGTGTGCGCGCGCTTGTGCGTGCCCAGCGCCTCTGTAACCTCTGCAGACAGGAGGGGGCTTCCTCCAGGCTAGGGGGCAAGTGGAGCCCATGGTGGGCTGGGAGGGCAGTGATGGCACCACTGAATCTCAGATTCCGGAATGGGGAGGGGCCGATGGGCCCTCCGGAGTACTGTCATTTAAGATCTGACATGGCGGCACCCCAGAGAAGAATCTGATTACGTTTGCGGGAGAATCAGGCCTGGCTTGTTGTCTGTCTTTCCTCGGGAACCCCCTCTGGGGACCCCATGTTTGCTGTCCTGTCCTGCTGTCTGTCCTCCTGTCTGTCTTCCGCCTGTCTTTCTCTGTTCCTCCATCCTCCCCTGCTCATCTTCCACCACCCGAGCCATCTATCCGGGCTGCCCCCACCGGCCCCCTGGGACCCCTAACCTGCAAAGGGACGGTCCTGAGACTCTGTCTTGCTCTGTCCCCGCGCCCCCACCCCTGCCCGGCCCCTTCCTCTCTGCAGCTCCTCTCCCCAGCGGGGCTGCGCGCGCATTCATTCACTCTCGCCTTTCCTGTCCCTCACTCAGGGCTGCAGCGTGCGGCGGGAGGGAAGCCTGCTGGACTGTGTTCCCTCTGTTTAAAGTCTCCAGGTTAGTAAGCCAGGAGGGTGGTCCCTCCGCGCCCCCTCCGTGCTCCTTAGCCGGCTGCTCCTCTCAGCCCGGGGCGGGGGTTGTCCTGGGGTCTGTGCCCCAGGGTGGGGCAGCAGAGCGTGGCCTCGGGGCACCTTGTCTGACTACGGTGTGTGTCTGTGTGCACGTGTGCATGTCCATGTGTGTGCTGGCCCAGGGCGCCCTACAGTGGGGGCAATGGGGTGGGGGGGGACGGGGGGAGTCCCATGTTCCAGCGATGGCCTGCGGGGTGGGGGGGGGCTGAGGACTGTGTGGGTCGGGGGTGGGATGGGGCGCTGTGCTTCGCCCACTTCCTCCCTTGACTCGTTCGTTGCTTCAGCGAGAACTTTCGGAGCCCTTCTGGGACCAGGCTGGGCTGGGCCCAGCCCAGCAGTGACCAATTCAACAAAATCCTTTCGTTGCTGCATGAGCCGGCAGAGGCCCGGGGGTGGGGGGTGGGGGGGGGGCGCCAGGCTGCAGGAGCTGTGGGCCTGGAGGGCGTTTCTCTGTCCATACTGGCCACCTTGTCGTCCCCCCCCCCCCCCCCCCCCCCGTCCTGTACTTTGCATCCCCTAGAGTGTCACTTGACCCCAGACCTCCCCTCAGAACTGAGTGAGGCCCTGGGCACCCCTGGGACTGCAGGGGCACTGTCGGGTCAGAGCAGCCCACAAGGCCTCCACCCCAATTAGCAGCACTGCCCGCTGCACCCAGACCAATTGCCTCCAGCTCTGAACTTGACTCAGTCTGGCCTGGCTTCACAGCAGCGCGTAAGCCATGTCCCAGCTGTGTGACCTTGGATAAACCTCTTTCCCTCTCTGAGCCTGTATCAGGGCTGCCCGCTAGCTGGTTTCCCTGAACCCCCTGCCCGCTCCCCCTGGGCTGGGCCTGCTGGGAGAGAGAGGGGCTGCAGAACCCCCATTCCGGTTGTTTGCAGGCTCCGTGCATCCGGCTCAGAGAGGTGCCACAGTGCCAGTCCCGGCAGGCAGCTGGTGGAGGCGGCCCTCCGCCTTGATGGCTTTTTAATAACTTTGCTCGGAGACAATCTGCAGAGCGCTCGTTTGTCTGCCTCTTAATTAAAATTACCGTTTTCCTAAAAGAGCAACGTTCGCCTCTCTCCCCATCCCTGCTGCTGTCAGGAGGGGCCCGGAGTTTGTGGCTGCTGCACCCCCAGGTCCTGGTCACATGATTCCCCCCAGCATCAGTGGCCTGAGGCTTACGGGGCAGGCACCAGGCAGGGGCCCCGTGGCCCCTCTCGCCCACTCCCTTCGGGAGCCACCCAGAGGCAGGGAGCCCAGAGCCTTCCCAACCCTGGTGCTGCGTTTTTGTTGTTGTTTTTGGGGGTGAGGGTGGGGGCACACCAAAGCGGTGCTGAGGGCTTGCTCCTGGCTCTGCGCTCAGGGGTCACTCCTGTAGGGCTTGGGGGACCACATAGAATGCTGGGGATCGAACCCAGGGTGCAAGGAAAGCGCCCTACTTGCTGTTTTCTCTCTCCAGCCCCCTAGTCCTACATTTTCAATGTTGTTTGGGGCTACACAACAGGTTGGAGTTACTCTTGGCTCAGTTCTCAAAGGTCACCCCTGACAATGCTTGGGGCAACCATATGGTATCAGGAATCAAACTAGGGCCTCACGTGTGTGAGACAATTGCTTTACCCCTGAGCCACATCCCGACCCTATTTCTAGCAGCAGAGATGCGGGGGTGTCCCCACCATTCATGCCTTACCAGAGGGGAATGAGACTGGGGTGGGTTTTGAAAAAGTCCTGGTGGTCCATGTGTGTGAGCATGTGTACAAACATGGATGTGTGTGTGTGTAACCATGTCTGTATGACTGTGAGCATGTGTAAGTGTGCACCCACGAATATGTGTGCGTGAACGAGCGTGTGCGAGCACGCTTGCATGTACTGTGCTATGTGTGATCATGTGCACGTGTGTGAACGTGCGTGAGCCAGAAAGTGGACATGTGTATGGAGGTATACTGTGTGTGCGTGGAGCTGGTCCTGTGGGTCAGTTCCTCGCCATGGGCCCATTGGACAGGCTGGCCAGGTCGGGGGGCGCTTGTTCCTGGGCTGCGTTTGGGGCAGTGTCCAGCCTGGCACAACTGGAAACACACCAGTCCAGGCATACTAGCCCGTTCCTCTCCTCACCACTGGGTGAGCCCCAGGCTGTTGTCTGAGTTTCAGGGGGGCAGCTGGGGCAGAGGTGGTGCCCATATCACCCCAGCCCCCATCCTGGGGGGTGCAGCACCCCTCCCCTCCTTCCACAACCTTAGCCTGAAGTCTTCCTTTGGTCTAGTTCGGGGGGGCTCAGGGTAGCGGGTCCCCTCTGCTTCATTTCCTGTTCCTGGGGTCTCCCCTGTGCCTCACTTCCTGCTGTTGGGGTCCCCCCTAACTTCACTTCTTATAGCTCCTTTTACTCAGACTTCACCCTGAGGTTCACCCTATCTGTGCCCTCTGCTCTTGTTTTCTTTTTTTTTTCTTTTTGCTTTTTGGGTCACACCCAACTATGCTCAGGGGTTACTCCTGGCTCTGCACTCAGGAATTACAACTGGCAGTGCTCGGGGATCAAATGGGATGCTGGGGATTGAACTCTGGTAAGCTGAGTGCAAGGCAAATGCCCTACCCACTGTACTATCACTCCAGCCCCCGCTCTTGTTTTCTGGGGGCTCCCAGAATCTCGACTGGGGGAAGACTGGGGAGAGGACATGGGGACATGACTCCTTATTTGGGGGGGGGGGCGGTCCTTTACGGCAGAGCTATTGACAAGATGGTGAGGAAAACGTTCTGCAGAATGGGAGAGGCCCTGCCCACAGGGCCTGAGACCTCAGCCCAGGAAGGAACCGAGGCGTCTCCTCAGCGGCCCAAGCATTCCCCCTCCCACCCTGGGGAGCCTCAGGCCCTGTCTCTGCCCTTCCAGGGACCTGTCCCTCTGTTTCCTCCCGTTTCTGCTCCTGCTGTGGGATGTCTGTAGCATGTCCATGCTCCTCTGGGTGGGTGTAACCAAGGCAGCGATCTCAGGTCTTACCGAGCAGGACAGGAGGGCAGCACTGGATCAGGGCAATAGGGAGCGGTGGGGACTGTGGTGAGCAGAAAGAGGGCACGTGCCCTCGAAGGCCTTAACGTTCAGCAACTCCAGATACTCCGCCTGCCCGAGACAAACAAAGCTGCTGCCGGCCCCGGTGTGAGTCTGCCCAGACCCTGCCCGCGCATCCTGGCCTTCCCCCTGGCCTTGTCTTGGCTGCTGGTTGTGTGAATGTGGGATTCACGTGGGCCAGGCTCCGTGAGGGGCAATTTCCATACTTAGTTCTTCCATCGCCCCTTGCTGGACACTCATCCCCTCCCCCTCTCCCCCCTCCCCATTTTGCCGTGTGGTGAAGTGAAGTGACTGTTCCAGATGACATGTGTGCAACCATAGCATGCCACGCTTTTTCCTTCTGGTTGGTCTCTGCCACACAAACTGGTGTGACCTGCCATGTGCCCTGGAGAACAGGGGGCGCCTCTGTGGGGAGGCTGAGACAGGAAGGGAACGGGTGCCCCTTCCCCTCCTTGGGCGCCCCCTCCCCCCCACTTCCGGCTCCATCCCTCAGCCTGGAGATGGATGGTGGTGTGGTGACAGGTGCTGAGCCACTGCGATGACAGTGCTGATTCCCCCATAATTACTGTCTGATGAGACGCCAGAATTAGCCACTGCGTAGCATCAGGGGGCAGGCACGGGATGGGGCATGGTGCAGCTGAGGGGGGGGGCACCCAGCCTCCTCGCCTGGGGCTGGTCTGAGCTGGGGAGGAAGAAGTAGGCGGGAGGAAGCCTCATGCAGTTAATCGGATGCCCATAGCGTTGGACTGTGGTTGGCCATGCCTGGACTCCCAAACCCTGGCTGCGGTGCAGAGGCCTCAGGGCACTTCCAGGCTGCCCACTCAGACTCCCGGGCTATGCCCACTGAGGCTTGGAGCTGGGATTGCCTTGCTGGGGCCACGAGTGGCACAGCTGCTGGGAAAGGGGCTGGGACACAGAGCAAGGCCAGATGGAAGTTTCTGGAGGAGCAGGTGGGTTCAGCTGGCCTACCTGGGGGCAGGGGGAGAGGCCTGAGTCCCCTCCAATGCTGGTCCTCCCTGGCATAGTATCAGAAAGAGGCAGCGACCTTTGGGCTTCGACACGGATCCACCCAGAGGCACCTCTGAAGGCCGCAGCTCAGAGTCGTGGTGAGAACACGGGCCCCTGACCCAGCATGGGCAGCACGGATGGGGCCGGGGCACTGGACAGGCTCCTCCAAGCATGACCTGAAATGCTGGTCTGGGGCCTCCCCTGCCCCACAGGAAGGGCCTTGTGGCTGACATGGCTGATGGCACTTATATTTTTTCTTTTCTTTTCTTTTTGGCTATTTTGGGTCACACTCTGCGATGCTCAGGGATTACTCCTGACTCTGCACTCAGGAATTACTCCTGGCGGTGCTCAGGGGACAATATGGGATGCCAGGGATTGAACCCAGGTCTGCCACGTGCAAGGTAAATGCTCTCCCCACTGTACTTTCACTCTAGCCTTCTTTCTTTTTTTTTTTTTCTTTTTTGGTTCCTGGGCCACACCTGCAGTGCTCAGGGCTTACTCCTGGCTCTGTGCTCAGGGATCACTTCTAGCGGTGCTCAGGGAGACCATATGGGGTGCCGGGGATCGAGCCCAGATCAGTCACACACAAGGCATGCAAGCAAGAGTCCAACCCATTGTACTATCTCTCCAGATGGCACTTCTGAGGGAACCTGTGCTTCCTCTTCTGGGACGTGTGGAGTAGAGTCCCAGAAAGGACCGTGGGACCCTCCTCCCAGCTGCCCCCTGGCCATCTCCAGCTCCCGCAGCCCCACTTGGCACTGTCCCCAGGCCCGCTCCCCCCTCCCCGCGGAGAGGAGGGTGGCAGGTCTCTGTGCCTCCCTGGAGAAGGGGTTCATTAGAGAGCTTGGCAACACGAAGAACCCCCAGCTGAGACAAGACTCGGG